AAGAGAGAGAGAGAGAGAGAGAGAGAGAGAGAGAGAGAGAGAGAGAGAGAGAGAGAGAGAGAGAGAGAGAGAGAGAGAGAGAGAGAGAGAGCGAGGGGGGGGGGGAAAGAGGGGGGGAGTGCACGAGGTCTGCACCTGGATGCGTCTCGCCCCGACGGCGGCTTGGCTGCCGAACTCGATCCCGAGCGCGAGGAACTTGGTGAGGTGCAGCTGCAGCGTGTTGAAGAGCACGAGTGTGGTGACCACCATCGAGGGCGTGAGCGCCTTCCCGCGCCACACGTGCAACGCAAAGGTGCAGAAGCCCTGCAGCAGCGGCGCGACGAAATATATGGACTCGTTGGCCGCGCGAAGCCGGTTGGCCCTCTGCACGCCCCTCACCTCCTCCGCGCGTGCGCGGCCAATCATCTCGTCCATCGCGTGCTCCCACGCGCAGACCTTGACGAGCCGAGCGCCGGTGATGACCTGAGAGATGAGCTTGACGCGCCGGTCGCTGTGCGCGGCGACGCTGCGCCGAATCGCACCGAAGCGACGCGAGAAGCGCATCTGCAGCGGCACGAGCAGAAGGCAGAGTACAAAGCCGGCTGCGAAGCTCGGGCCGACGAGGTGGAGGCCGAGGCCGAGTACGACGAGCGCCTCCACTGGCGCGAGGACGAGGTAGCCCGCCATGATGCCGAACGTCTGACGTGCGGGGAGGGAAAGGCTCGGGGGTCCGTCTGGAAGTCAGCGCGGGGGTGGGTCTGGAAGTCAAAGGCTGGGAACGTCTGGAAGACAGGGAGGGCTTGGCGTGCCTTGGAACCGACAGCGTCGCGGCCCGCGGGCTGGGAATGTGGGAAGGGGCTCGGCGCGCCTGGAACTTTTCGACGTCGGACGACGCAAGCGTGACGACGTGGCCCACCGAGACGGAGTGGAGCGAACCGAGGGAGAGGCGGAGGGCCTTCGCCATGATGTGAGTCACCAGGGCGACCCTCATGCGCATGCCGAAGCGCCAGGCGATGAAGAAGTGGAAGTGGTGCAGGAACCAGGCACACAAGCCGCACCCGACCACCCAACCAGCGTAGCCCAAGCCAGCTCCGAGTGAGCCGTCGCTCTCGTTCAGCCAAGAGACGAGCGCTCCTAGCCCCAGAGCCTGTGCAATCTGGCAGCTGGCCTCGGCAGCAGCACCAACGAAGCCCCAAATCGCACGTGGCAGCAGGAGGCGCCACGTCAGGGCGCGCATCAGCGACGGGCGCCTTGGCCTCAGCCGCTGCTCACGGCGCCAAGCCGCCGCGAGCTGGTCGTGGAGGTTCTGAGAGACTTCTCCAGCAGGCAGTCCGGGAAGGTCACTCGCGTCCATATCGGATTTGTGCGACAGCAGTTCTTTCACCCAGTGGAAGGTCAACTGGCTGAGGAGCGAGGCACCATCGAGAGCGCACGGCTTTGCCTCGGCGGCCGCGAGCCTTGGCGGCCGGCACATCGCGGCGGCAGAACAGCAGAGGAACTAGCGCCGGGAGAAGCAGCGAGGCGGCAGAACAGCGGAGGAACTAGCGCCGGGAGAAGCAGCGAGGCGGCAGAACAGCGGAGGAACTAGCGCCGGGAGAAGCAGCGAGGCGGCAGAACAGCGGAGGAACTAGCGCCGGGAGAAGCAGCGACGCGGCGACGATGTGGTCGCACGAGGAGTTCCGGGAGAAGCAGCGACGCGGTCGCACGAGGGGTTGCCGGGAGAAGCAGCGACGCGGGTTGGGCACGACAAGTTTCGATGGGGAGATGCCACAGGGAAAGAATTACGCCTGCAGGGTAGGGAGGCGTTTGGGGAATACAAAGTGGATCCCGCCCCGCCCCGCCCCGCCCGCAATAAGCGCAGATGTCCTCTTCAGCCTGCCGAGAGCTTCCTGGCCCGCGCGCGCGCGCTCCGCCTGGCGCGCGGAGCGACTCGGTGGACGTCCGACTCGGTCCGAGCCCGCCGCCCCTCGCCACTGCACCCTGCTGGCCCATGCAGCGCGACACGGTACGCGGCTGCGAGTGCAGCCGCCTATGTTGGCCAAGATAGGCGGCTGCACGTGTGGGCGCGAGTACCGCTATATACGCGTCTGCACGTGTGGCCGCGTATCTTGGCTACGATACGCGCCGGCACAGAATGACACGTATCAGCCCCGCCGAGCTCGATGCGCGGCAGCGGGTGAGGGCGGCTATTCTCCCCCGAGGCAGGCAAGGCGTCCCTCGTGTCGCGCGTGTAAGTCCCGGTTGCCGTGCGCGCCAGCGCGTGTGGCCGCGTACCTTAGCTAAGATACGCGCGCACGGGCGTGGGTGGGTAAAAACGGGTCACTTTGCGGGGTTTGCCCGATGTCGGTGTATTCCTCCCTTATTCCTAAAAAAAGAAAGAAAACGGACAACCCAAGGGAGGGATGGGAGGACGGCACGCCGCCACCACACAGGGATTTTAAGGAGAGGAGTGTGGTGCGCTAGCCGTCGCCCACCCTTGGGCGTCCGCCTCTTCCTATAAAGAATTTAAACACAATAAAGAAAGAAAGAACCGCTCTATGGACGGACGGAAAAACACCCCCCTTCTATGCCTGACCCTGGGCATGCCTCTCTGGGGGTGAGCTGGGTCGGCCACCTCCGGGTCTGCAACTCGCACGGTGGGTCCGCTTCCGGGCGAGCATCCGAGGCCTGCGGTTGTCCCTTCGCTGGGCGCGACCGCCATGGAGATCCGCTACACACAGATCAGTGTTTTTGGCGACTATTGCTCGCTCTCTGTGCAATCGCAACGCCAGAGGCCGTGCTTGGAGAATGGGTCGCGATGCTGCTGCGCCAGTGGATTGAGCCGCTCCGCACGCTCCATCGGTGAGCTGCGGTGGCGCGCCGGCCGCTTCATGCATGCTCTCGGGCGAGCTGCCGCAAACGCGTTTCCGTCCGCCCGTTTCATCGAGTTTGCCCGAGTGGTAAAATGCAATCGAATTTGCCCGAATGGTAAGGTGCAACTTTTGCATTTGGTAAAAGTTGCCCGAGTGGTCAGTGGGGAAAAAACCAAAGCGGAAATGTGGCCCCAAGAGCTAAAGGTCAACATCACCTCCGGCTACGACAATGTGAACCTGATCTGGTCCTCACGGGGTTGACCCGTCTCCTCCAGATCGAGACGGACTTCATGAACGGCCGAGCATTGTTTCTTCATTACTATTATTAATTAATGCTTTTTGCACGGCTGAGCCCCCCCCCCCCCCCCTGCGCCCATTCCCTGCCCTCTCCCGCCACACACTCCGTCAGAGCCCCCTCCCCTCTTGCACAACAGGAATTCTGACAATTAACCAGTGATGCGCGGCGCTGTCTCTCAAGATGGAAGCAGGAAGCTTCCATCCCGGCGGTGGTTCGAATCCACACGAGCCGAGGGGTGAAGGGGGAGGCAGGCCCGAGGTCTGAAGCTCACCCATTGTGGAAGTGAGAACTGCTCGACCCACCCCTGATCCTGCTGAACAAGCTCCTCTTGTAGCTCGATCGGTCACACCGCCATCGCCGTCGGGGAGAGGGGGGACGATACTGCCTCGGCAGCGTGCACCTCGATCCTGTACCGTGTTTGTTATGACCCCCCCCGATGAACACACCAGTGAGGGAGGGCGAGACGATCGAGGGGTCCCGTACCATGCGGAACCGACCCTATCCAGTGCTCAAGTGCTCAAGAAAGAACCCCTCCCCCCCCGCCCCGATCCCCCCACCCCCTTGCTCCCCTCCCCCCCCTCGGGAGGGCCGAACTGAGGCGCCCGTGGGGACCCCGCAATTCCCTTCCCCCCTCGGAGGGCCGGACTGAGGCGTCGAGGGCCCCGCTCTTTCCCTCGCATAGCGGCCACTCTAGTCTTCGGATCGCTGGTCGAGCGACCCGGGGGATGCCCCGCGCGCCTGACCCAGGCGCGAAAACGAATCTGCGAGGCGTGGCCGCTCATGCGGCCCGATGGGGAGGAACGGGGCGAGCCCCCTCCAACCCACCCGCGCTAGGTCTCGGGTTTGACGCATGGGGTCACTCCCGCGAAACTCGGGAACTAGCCGGGGCAGTCGGAGAAGTGGCAACTCCGTGCACTGACGGTCGGCCGCCAGAAAACACGCCTCCGTGGCTCGGGTTACACCAATCCTCGCTACCCAACGCGGCCAAAGGATATCCACCTCGAGAACCTCGAGAGAGAAGAAAGAAAACAGACACGCCAAACGAGGGATGGGACGAGGACAGGGTGGTCCCCACCTGCACGAGCAGGATTTTGGAAGAACGATCAGGGGGACAGGTGGGGCTCTCCTGCTCCTGACAAGGGACACGACAGGCTCGCCTCTTCCTATCTCTCTTGGCAGTCAGAGACGTGATTTTATTTTCGCACGTTGATGGCCTCCCACCGCATCGGCGCCCGCCTGTCTGGCCTCTCGCCAGAGCAGCTCGTCGCCTTCATCGACGAGCAGGCGCCTCTCTGGAGCGCCGCCGCGTTGCGCGTGGCGGAGGAGCACGCCGCTCGGCTCGTGGAGCAGCCCGAGTGGGTGCTCTGCGAGGTCCTCCTCTCGCCGGACCTCGCCCCGCACATCCTCGCCCAGCTGCCGACCACGGAGCACGCCGTCAAGGGGACGTGCCGCGCGTGGCGCCGCGGCTGGAAGGAGACGCTGAAGAAGCGCGAGAGGCCGCGCATGCTCGTGTTCGGCGGCCGCGGCAGCGACCACGAGTTTCTCAACTCGCTGGAGCGGTACGACCCGTCAACGAATGAGTGGGAGGAGGAGGCTGTGGCGCCGATGCCGACGGCACGCACGCGTCCTGGCATGGCGGTGCTCGACGGCACGCTGTACGCTGTGGGCGGCTTCTGTGACGACGGCTACCTCAGCTCGGTCGAGCGGTACGATCCGGCGACGAACGCGTGGGAGGCGATGGCGCCGATGGCGGAGGCGCGGAGCGACCATGGTGTGGCGGCGCTCGACGGCAAGCTGTATGCTGTTGGCGGCTACGACGACGACGACGACCTCCTCAGCTCGGCGGAGCGGTACGATCCCGTGACGAACGCGTGGGAGGCGGTGGCGCCGATGGCGACAGCGCGGCAGGATCACGCCATGGCGGTGCTGGACGGCAAGCTGTACGCTGTGGGTGGATTCGATGGCGACCGCCTCAACTCGGTCGAGCGGTACGATCCGACAGCGAACGCGTGGGAGGAGGTGGCGCCGATGGCGGCGGCGCGGGACTATCACGCCGTGGCGATGCTCGACGGCAAGCTGTATGCTGTGGGCGGACTGGATGCCGGCAGCAACCGCCTCAGCTCGGTGGAGCGGTACGACCCCGCTACGAACGCGTGGGAGGCTGTGGCGCCGATGGCAGAGGCACGGCATTCTCACGGCATGGCGGTGGTCGACGGCAAGCTGTACGCTATGGGCGGGTACAACAACGGCTTCCTCAACTCAGTCGAGCGGTACGACCTGGCAGTGGGCGCATGGGAGGCGGTGGCTCCGATGGCGGCGGCGCGGATGACGGCTTTCGCCGTCTTGATGTAGTCGCCGTTGTCTGTTGCGTGCTAGCCATGTGTATACTGAAGTCCCTCGCCTGAGGGCCGACTGACGTGACCGATCTTCACACTTCAGATATTTTCACAGATGAGAGCACTTGAGACCGAAATCACCAGTTTTTTGCCTTGCTGCCCGTTTTTTGCAGCGGTGCTGGTGTGGCCACAGGCGGGGGCGCGGAAGCCGGGATTTCTTTCCCGTGAGCCGGTGAGTGTGCCAGTCCGCGCCAGTCCGCGCCCTTGTCGTGCCAGAGTGTGCTGTAGAGACGCTTGTATTCTAAGAATTCTTTCCTGGTGGTGTGCCGGAGATAGTACTAGCACGCGCCAGTTCGCACCTGTGTCGAGCCTGTCTGCTGTGTGTGAGTGAGTATTCTTGATACGAAACACACACACACACACACACACACCCCTGTCCGCTGTGACTCGAGTTCTTTTCTTTAAATTCTTCCTGTTGCTCTCTTCTGCGCCGATATGGCCTCCCACCGCATCGGCGCGCGCGTCGCGGGCCTCTCGCCAGCGCAGCTGTGCGCCATCATCGAGGCGCAGGCGGGCGCGAGCGACGCCGCGTTGCGCGTGGCGGAGGAGCACGCCGCTCGGCTCGTGGAGCAGCCCGAGTGGGTGCTCTCCGAGGTCCTCCTCTCGCCGGACCTCGCCCCGCACATCCTCGCCCAGCTGCCGACCACGGAGCACGCCGCCAAGGGGACGTGCCGCGCGTGGCGCCGCGGCTGGAAGGAGACGCTGAAGAAGCGCAAGAGGCCGCGCGTGCTCGTGATCGGCGGCCGCGGCAGCGAAGGCAGCGAGGGCGAGTTCCTCAACTCGCTGGAGCGGTACGACCCGTCAACAAATGAGTGGGAGGGGGAGGTTGTGGCGCCGATGCCTTCGACACGAAGGTTTGTCCGCACGGCGGTGCTCGATGGTAAGCTCTACGCGGCGGGTGGCAGGAATGAAGCTGACGATGTAACTTCCAAACTGGTGGAGCGGTACGACTTGGCTGCGAACGTGTGGGAGGCGGTGGCGCCGATGGCGGAGGCGCGGAGCGACCATGGTGTGGCGGCGCTCGACGGCAAGCTGTATGCTGTTGGCGGCTACGACGACGACGACGACCTCCTCAGCTCGGTCGAGCGGTACGATCCCGTGACGAACGCGTGGGAGGCGGTGGCGCCGATGGCGACAGCGCGGCAGGATCACGTCATGGCGGTGCTGGACGGCAAGCTGTACGCTGTGGGCGGATTCGATGGCGACCGCCTCAGCTCGGTCGAGCGGTACGATCCGACAGCGAACGCGTGGGAGGAGGTGGCGCCCATGGCGGCGGCGCGGGACTATCACGCCGTGGCGATGCTCGACGGCAAGCTGTATGCTGTGGGCGGCCTCGACGACGACGGCCCCCTCAGCTCGGTGGAGCGGTACGACCCCGCTACGAACGCGTGGGAGGCTGTGGCGCCGATGGCAGAGGCACGGCATTCTCACGGCATGGCGGTGGTCGACGGCAAGCTGTACGCTATGGGCGGGTACAACAACGGCTTCCTCAACTCAGTCGAGCGGTACGACCTGGCAGTGGGCGCATGGGAGGCGGTGGCTCCGATGGCGGCGGCGCGGATGAAGGCTTTCGCCATCTTGATGTAGTCGCCGTTGTGTGCGTGCTAGCCCCACGGCGTGGAGTGTGCTGAAGTCCCTCGCCTGAGTGTGCGTTCGGTTAAAAGAAAAATAGCCCCATCCTAAAAAGAAACGCTGGGCGCAGCCTCCACCGCGCCGCTGACGCTCCACTCCGATGGCCTCCCACCGCATCGGCGCCCGCCTGTCGGGCCTCTCGCCAGAGCAACTCGTCGCCTTCATCGACGAGCAGGCGCCCCTCTGGAGCGCCGCCGCAATGCGCGTGGCGGAGGAGCACGCCGCTCGGCTCGTGGAGCAGCCCGAGTGGGTGCTCTCCGAGGTCCTCCTCTCGCCGGACCTCGCCCCGCACATCCTCGCCCAGCTGCCGACCACGGAGCACGCCGCCAAGGGGACGTGCCGCGCGTGGCGCCGCGGCTGGAAGGAGACGCTGAAGAAGCGCAAGAGGCCGCGCATGCTCGTGTTCGGCGGCCAAGACGGAGACCACGCGTTTCTCAACTCGCTGGAGCGGTACGACCCGTCAACGAATGAGTGGGAGGAGGAGACTGTGGCGCCGATGCCGTCGGGGCGCCTGAGGGCGCGCATGTCGGTGCTCGATGGCAAGCTGTACGCGGCGGGCGGCCGTGAGGCCGACGACGTAACTTCCAACCTGGTGGAGCGGTACGACCTGGCTACGAACGCGTGGGAGGAAGTGGCGCCGATGGCGGAGGCTCGGCAGATTCACGACATGGCAGTGCTCGACGGCAAGCTGTATGCTGTGGGAGGCTACAACGACGACGTCCTCAGCTCGGTCGAGCGGTACGATCTGGCTGCCAATTCCTGGGAGGCGGTGGCGCCGATGGTGGCGGCGCGGATGGCTCACGCTGTCGCGGTGCTCGACGGCAAGCTGTACGCTGTGGGAGGCTGCAACGATGACGACGGCACCCTCTTCTCTCTCGAGCGCTACGATCCCGCCACGAACGCGTGGGAGGCGGTGGTGCCGATGGCAACGGCGCGGTTTGCTCACGCCGTGGCGGTGCTCGACGGCAAGCTGTACGCTGTCGGCGGCCACAGCGACGACGACGTCCTCAGCTCAGTCGAGCGGTTCGACCCGGCGACGAATGCATGGGAGGAGGTGGCGCCGATGGCGGAGGTGCGGTTTAATCACGCTATGGCGGCGCTCGACGGCAAGCTGTATGCGGTGGGAGGCTTCAACAACGGCTTCCTCAGTTCGGTGGAGCGGTACGACCCGGCCGAGAATGTGTGGGAGGCGGTGGCGCCGATGGCGGCGGCGCGAAGCGCTTCTTTCGCAGTCTTGATGTAGAGCGCTCCAAGAGAGGGCTGGTTGCAGGGTCAGGGCGGGGTGGCCATGTCCCTAGTGCCTTTTTGAGCCTGCCGCGGTGAGCGGCCGGGGGCGCGGGGGCAGAGCCCCCGCGAAGCGATTTTTGACGAATTTGAGCCATTTTCGGTCATTTTCTAAGAGAATTTTGACACTTTGAGGAGAGCGGAAGTCAGTAACATCGCACGCAGTTCGCGCCCTGGTACACAGTTCAACAACAGTTAGGCTAGTTCCATTTCACTCTGACACGCTAATCTTGAAAACGTCCAACGGAGCTCCGTGTTGCTCCCAGCGCCCTCCCCCGCGCTTCCTGCGGCCATGGCCGATGATACTAGTATGAGAGGTCATCTGGCTACCGCGAGCGCGACTCAACTCGCCGACGTCGTCCGATGATTGTGCCTCAAAGTCAGCCTCCGGAGGCTATCGTGGGGTCGAGCCGGCAGTAGCCGTGACATGTGGTTCCACCACCCCTCGTATGCTTTGCCTCTGACCGCCACCGTTCCCAGGCTGCCAAATGGGATGGAAAGGAAGGCTCGGCGAGCGTATAGAAGCGTGCTCGACCTCGTCGTGGCAACCTGCACGGCAGCGCTGGTAGGCGCGATGAGCGTCGTGCCACCTGACCCGAGACGGGTCGCAGGCGTCGTACCGAGCGCGTCGAGACCGTGTCCTGATGTGATCTGCACGGGTGAGTCACGTCGGCGTCAAAGGAGCGACGTGCGACCTGTCAGAGCTTGATCTCCGATCTCAGCGGCGTCGAGTCGTCTCCGGCGCGCGACAAAGGTACATCCCCAGGACGCGCAGAGGCAGCTGCGACCCCGCCGAGTGGACGGTAACGCACCGCGCCACCTGCTGTGCGTTACCGTCCACTCGGCGGGGTCGCAGCTGCTTCTGGAAGGCACCGAGATGTACCTTTTTCGCGCAATGGTCAAAATCAAGGTTTTGTAACGCGAGCTGTGCCACAGTGAAATGGAACTAGCCTTAACCCGTACACATCAAGTACTGTACTCATGCTCATGCGCAACATATATCAAGACACGCGCTCACCAGCAGCGCGCTCGGATAGCATCGTCTATCGCGGGCTCCATCGCGTACTCTTTGGGTGGCGGCGGCGGCGGTGGCAACGCCCCTGGTAGCGCCGTCACCTTAGCCTTTGGTGCCCTCTTTGAGCGGCGCAATTCTGATTGCAGCGGTGGGAGCTCACCCGTCGGGGTCATCGTAAAGTTGACGCCACGCAGCTCGGTCGCGTTGATGATGAAGCTGTCCCGGCCGTCGGGTGGTGTCCACTCCTCAAAGGTGAGGCCGCTCGCGTCGCTCGCAGCGCGATCAAAGTAGCGGCCGATGCGCACGAGGTAGTCGCCAATATTGAACATGACGCCATCAATCGTGCAGCGTGTCTCAATCTTCTTGACCTCGCGCACGTCTGGCGCCTGGGCCAGCCAATAGTGGCCCGGCCGGTAGTGAACTTCCTCCGACCTTGACCACCGCTCACGCGCCTACCAGGGAGCGAGAGAGGGAGGGGCTCAGACGGGGCCACTGCCACTAAGGGTGCGCGTGCCTGAATAGCGAGGAAGCCGTTGCCCGTGGACTTGCCGTCCGCGTCAAGCAGCTGCTTCGCAAACTTGATGCCCTCATCCTGCGCCACCTTGCGCCGCGCGGCCGCGCCGACGCCCTGATCCCTCACCGTCTGCTGCGTCCACACGGGTTTGTCACGGTGGGTGCATGCCTCGCAGATGAGTTTGTCGCCGGCGGAGGTCATGTTCGTGCGGCCGCGCGCACGGAAGCAGCCCTCGCAGTAGCAGGATCGCCCGCGCCGCGCAATCTGGTCCTTGGCGAGCATCATGTAAGAGTAGCTCGACTTGGAGCCGTCGAGCGAGTCAAACTTGTGGTCGACGCGCGGCCGTGCAATCTCATTGTGCGGCGAGTAGGAGATGATAATCTCATTGATGTGCTCGCCGCCAACGGCTCGCGCACCGCCTCGGCATACGCGAGCGAGCCTGCTCCTCGGCTCGCGTGGCGGCTTGCTCGGCGCTCACGGCGCGCACCTCGGCGGCGCGCAGCGCTGCCTGCAGCTGCTGCGTCGCGCCGAGCATCGTAAAGGCATTCTTCGGCAGCTCTGTGGATGACGAGGCTTCGGCAGCGCGCCGCTCCTTCATTCGCTGCTCGGCGGCGTCGACGACGGCATCACCGAGCTCGACGCGCACGCGCCGCTTGGCCTCGAGGGCGCAAGCGAGCTTGTTTGGCCGGTCGCCGCTGCACGGAATGCGCCTCCTGGCCTTGCTGCCGCCGGACTGAGCCACGTAGTACGTGACGGTCATGTTGTTCAAAATGGGGCCGTCATATTTGCTGTCGATGGCGTTGGAGACACCCTCTACATCGTTGAGAAGGGCAAGCTGCTCCACAAGGGTCGTCTCGTTCGGCTCCATATACCCCGCGTGGATCGAGCGAAACGATGCAATATGTGGAACGGCAAAAATCAAAATCAAAAAACCGAGTAGACTTCGAAAGCGATGTGTAGACTTCGACGGACTTTTAAAAGAGCTTTCCAACGGTGTGCGACTCGTCGAACGAATCCAACTGGGAGGCACTAGGGACATGGGTCACGAGAGCCACCCCGCCCTGACCCTGCAACCAGCCAGAGTGTCCCGCTCCCAGCGCGACGGGTCTCTCTCTGTCCGAGGAGACACTGTATCATACACTCGTCAAGGCACTGTGGCAGCCGTCCTTTTAGTTTTATACCAGCCGTCGCCGCACCGCTGTCCGCTCCGGCCGGCCACCGCGCACCTCGGACGTCGGAGAGACTCCTGTCGAGAGAAGTTTAAGCTCGGTCAAGTGCTGGCTGCTGCCGATATTCCAAAGTGCCGTCGCCCGAGACCCCCTCATTCAGCGACTTGGACCGCCCTCATCAGGCGACGCTACCTGGTTCGCTACCTGACTGGTGACTGCCCAATCGCCCCTCCGCCCCCCGCCTCCCGCCTCAGCAACGCGACTCGCAGCGTGCGCGGCCCAAAGCCCGGCAGCCCGTCGTGCAGAGTCGTCGCATTGTCGAGCAGCAGCACGTCGCCGCGCCGCCACGCGACGGCCGCGCATGACGCGGCGAGGGCCTCCGCCACCGCCTCCGCCTCCTCGTCGCACAACCTCTCGCCCAACCTCTCGCACACCCTCCCCCGGCGCCGGCTCCGGGCGCGCCTGCCGCCGCCGCCGCCGCCGCCGCCGCCGCCGCCGCCGCCGCCGTCTCGCGCAGCAGCGGCGGCGGCCTCGCGCGCCGCCGCCGCGGCCCTCCACATGGCGATCGGCCTCGTGAGCCACCCAGGGAGGGCGTCGAGGAGGGCGAGGAGCGAGCCTGCGGGTGGGCGGTAGGGGGGGGGCGACAGGAGCCGCACGGCGTGCGCGCGCGCGTGCAGCGTGTGTGTGTGTGTGTGTGTGTGTGTGTGTGTGTGTGTGTGTGTGTGTGTGTGTGTGTGTGTGTGTGTGTGTGTGTGTGTGTGTGTGTGTGTGTGTGTGTGTGCGTGTGTGTGTGTGTGTGTGTGTGTGTGTGTGACTGAGTGGGTGAGTGAGCCGTAAGGAGGAGGCGCCGATCCGCACCTAGGGGCGGGCTAGCCTCCACAGCTCGTACACGTGTCGAGACACGGGGAGATACGGGGAGATATGGGGAGGTCTTCTAGGCGAGCCGCGCCCACGAGACGAGGATGCCGGATCGCCGCCGCCCAGAGCGCGCGGTGCAGCGACCACAGCCGCCCCGCGAAGAATCCGCGCTCAAGCAGCCCTCGCAGCATCGCGAGCCGCGCCTGCAGAGAAGGGGAGGTTGGGTTCGGGTACCGTGGGGTAGGGGACAGCACCGCGAGCCGCGCCTGCAGGAGGGGAATCGGGTTAGAAGAGGGGAGGATAGAAGAGCTGTGAACAGCAGAGCTGTGAATAGAAGAGTCCCCCTCACACCAAGATCGTGCAGGGCGGGGACACATGTCCCTAAATCCCATCTCGTCTCAGAGTTTGACCGTTTTATTTATTTATTTAAGAGTCGACCGCGCCTGCAGGAAGGGGCCGAGAAGGTGGCGAGGAGGCTGCCCCGCTCATGACGTCGCAGTGTCGCGGGCCGCGCCGCGGCGCAGCCGCTCAGCTCGCCAAAGTTGAAGCTGACGCCCTCCCCGCCGCACGCCGTCCGCCGTAGCGTCAGGCAGACTGTGCCTCCGTCCAGCCCGTCCAGCTGCACCGCCGCGCCGTCGCGCGCAGCGAGCGCGCCCAGCCGCGCGTCAATCGCCTCGCCGTGCCGCGTCCGGAGCCGGCGCAGAGAGTGGTGGCGCCGCACGGTCGCCGGCTGCGCGAGCGCGGCGCGGAGGCGCGGCGGGAGGGACGCAAAGGCGGCGACGCCGTCGAAGAGCGCCGTCTCGCCTCCGACCCAGGGCAGAGCTGTGAATAGACGAGCTGTGAATAGAAGAGCTGTGAATAGAAGAGCGCCGTCTCGCCTCCGACCCAGGGCGGCCGCCCCTCGCAGAAGAAGGCGACGCATGCCGGCCGCTCGAGCGCGTAAAAGTTCTCGGTGTGAGGGACCACTTCGGGAGCCCAGTAGTTGCCGGACCGGCGGAGCTCGTTGGTGTGCCACACCGTCGCGCCCTCGAGGTGCACGCGCTCGTCGCGGCCCGGCTCGGCGGGCGCGTAGTCCGCCATCGAAGAGAGGCCCATGGTGCGCATCGCGCCGGCAGCCGCCGCAAAAGAGGCGGTGTCAGGAACCCGCCAGTTACGGAAGAGGAGAGCGCCGTGCACGCGCAGCAGGCGGTTGAGCTCGGCTCCGTTCGCGCCGATCGCGGTGCTGAGGTCGGCTGAGGAGGAGGCGGTCGGCTCGACGACCAGCGGCAGCGGACGCAAGCGGCGGGAGGCCGGTGGCGCCACGCTGAGCTCGGACGGCGACGGCGGCCGAGCGTGGAGCATCGTGACCTCTCCCCTCGCTGTCTCGCAGTGGCGCGAAGTTTGTTAGGGGCTGGAGTGCGGCACTGCGGCCAAAAGAGTTTTCATCTTTCTACATACGGGCCCATACACACATACATACAACACTGGGCACGGGCCTTGCAACGCGCATCTTCGACCCGTCGACGTACGTTGGCATTGAGACCGCCAAGCAAGTTCCGCGCCGCCATCCCAAACAACAGGGACGACATCCGCTCCTTCATCCCCGCCTTCGTCGACGCGATGGACGCAGAGCATGGGCGCCAACACAACTGCGTCTATGTGCGGGCTGAGGAGAATTTCGACCCGACGAAGGGCATGTTAACCGAGAGGAGACCGGCTGGATCCGCTTCATCCTCACATCGACCGGCCAGACGCCGACGTCCTCTATCGCCTACCACCCCATAATGCCGCGCTCGATCGTATACACAGCATACGGCCTCCCCCGCATCCTGCACGGCAGCCGATGCCCCGCGCAGGGATATTCCTTCGTCCCGCGCACAGAGGTGCAATACGAGCCGGTCGGTGTGAGCTACTGCGACGTCTGCCTGCTCTCCGTCCTGCACCCCTCCGCGAGCGGCGAACGCGGGAAGTGCGCGCCAGGGTGCGTCCGCAACAACGTAGCGGAAAAGAAACGCATGATGGACCAAAAGCTGGCAGAGGCGCGCGAACGCCAGCGCCAGAGGGTGACCGCGGAGACGCCGGCAACGGAGGCGGACCAGGTGAGCGTGGCGGCCTACGAGCGCGTCTTGCAGGCTAGTGCCGAGAGGGGGAGGCGAGAGGTAGCACGCGATCACACGCAAAGGGGAGCAGGGGGTGGACCCGCAGCATGGCGCCAGCGCTCCCCTCACACCAGATACGCCCCCCCCCCCCCCGACAGGTCACGTGCGACGGAATCCGGCCGCTGCTCATCCAGAACAAAGTGGAGGACGTGGCCGAAAAGATTGGGAGCGGCATCACCGCCACCGACGTGACCGCCATCGTAGCGGAGCCGTGCCTCCAGGCGCGCCGGAGCATGGCGAAGCCGGGAGGCTTCATCACGTGCCACAAGGCCGGCTGCAAGAAGATCATGTGCGCGACCGTGCGGGCGGCAAAGCGCCACGGCACCGCCGCGGACTCGCCCCTCCTTTGCTGGGTCAAGGGCAAGAACGGGGATATCAACGACGAGGCGAAAAACAACATTGTGGCCCGCATCCAGGCACAGATCGAGGAGCGCCGCGCCGGGGCCGCTAGGATGGACCGAGAGGAGGACCGACGAGATGGCATTATTTTTGCTTTCAACTTGTGATTGTTTTTTTTTCCGGCTGGTGCGAGCAGGAGTGGTGCTACGCTGACCCGCTTTCGTGCAATACAGAGACCGCAGCCTCTCCATACATCCCCGGGCTCGTATACTCGTATAAGGCTTGCGGCTTCAGCAATGAGTTCGAGAGCGCCTTCTTCTCCCCGATGCGCGAACAGTCATTTGGAGGGGCATTCTTTCAGCGGAATAGCTACTCATTTACGTCGCTGGAGCAGTGCACAATAAAAAACTCTCGTGCAGAGAAAGGAGGCGGCTTCTTCCTGGGTGATGGTGCATCGACCGTGACAAAGTCGACCATTGTTGGCAACACCGCGACGAAAGGCAGCAATCTGTACGCGGACAATGGCGTGTTTTCCTACGTTCTTCCTGCGCCAGAGTGTGAGTGAGTGAGTATTCACACACACACACACACACACACACACACACACACACACACACACACACACACACACAACAGACAAGGCAAAAAGAAACGGTGGGGACAGGTTGGAAGGGGTACAGCTTGGGGTACAGCTTGGAAGGGGTACAGCTTGGAAGGGGTGCAGCTTGGCGTGGGTGCGCTCGTGAAGGTCAGCGCTGCCGCCCACGCCCTCGGCCCGAGGCTGTTCGACCTTGTGCAGACCTCCCTGTGTCCACGCTCTCCGCTGTCCGCTCGCAGGTGAGTGCTTCGGCCCGTCCACGGCGCTTGCTGTCCGCGGCCGCCTCGACCGCTGCGAAGCCGTAGCTTGAGCCGCCCACGCCATGCTTCGCGTGGCCGTGTGCCGGATTCTCATTGCTGCTTCTTTGGTTGCGTCTTCGGATGCCGAGCGATCATGCATCACCTTCGGTTCGGACAAGGCCGACTTCTCGGACGGCTGGCTTCACTGTCCCGGCAACACGTTTGTCGATAGCATTCAATTTGAAGATGCAGCGCTGCGCGGCTCGATCGAGATGCAGTGCTGCGAGGACCCGAATCACCCGAGCGCGGCGCTGAAGAAATGCGAGACGTTTTTGGTGGACGATCCGTCGAAGAAACACCGCTACAACTCGGCGATCCACTCCCGAGTTCGTGAAGGAGCAGTCAACAGGCGGGACGATCCTCTCCTCGTGTGGCCAGAAAGTGACCCGAGCGTGGAATGGTGCTGCTCTTTGTCGCCCGAGAACCTGTTCGATGATCAGGCCATGTTTGCCGAGATGGAGCGCTTCCTATCGTGCGGCCCGGGCTCCCGTCCTTGCCCCCGTTGCCCTCCGAGACCATGCGATGGTACGTCCTTGCTCCCGTTGCCGAGCTCCGGCGTCTGCACACGCGTCCCTGCCTCCACGAGCTGCCCTCACGACGCCGTTGCCGAGCTACACGCTTCGCTGGAAATCCACACCCGCTATTGCCCTGCGGAGAAGCCGACGCTGGCCGGTTGGGGGGACGGCCTCTACATGAAAGATAAGACCACCGTCACAGCGGCACGCTGCTACGAGTCCTGCTTTCTCCCTTTTGATCAATGCCGCGTGGAGCAGCTCAACCGCGACGGGGCCCTCGGTTCCGGATGCGAGGACTCCACGAAACCGCTTGTGCTCGACACCGGCACCGTCGTTGGCTGCCTCGGATGGAAGCAGACTGGAGGCTGCTCCCCGCACGGACCGCGCGAGCCGCAGGACGACAAGGGCTGCGCTACGACGATCGAGTCTGGATGGAGCGGATTCTGCGACTGCGGAAACGGCCGAAAGGCCATGGAAAAGGGATGTCATCCGGCCCAATACAGCAACTGCGAGTCGGCGTGCGTATCCCTCGCTTCTCACGACGATTTCACATGCCGCTCTTGGGATGCGCCGCCGCCGCCACCTCCGCGCGATGTCAAAGGTGACTGCTGGAGTTCTTGGAATGAACGGCCGAATCACGCCGCGTGTGATCCCGGGTACGCATGCTGCCGCAAAGGCTGGAGTACCGAACCCGTGTGCCAGTGCACGGACGCATCCTGCAACGACCTTCCCGATACAGGGGGTCACTACAAGTGCATCAGCACCAGGATCGTCACTCCCTCCGACCCTGCGGAAATGAACATGAAGCAGATTTGCGAAGTTTCCTCCACGGTGCGCCAGCAGTGCCCCAAGTCCTGCGGACTCTGCCAACCGGGCCCGTGCCCGAGCGGCCTGGTTCCAACAGCGGCGGGCGGGTGCGTGCCTGCTCCCGATGGCACGGACCGGGACGACGGCGACAGCATGACGAGGTGTGCCGCTGGCACCTGGTCGTGCACGGCGCGGGCCGCGGGGAACCTTGAGGCGGTGAACATGTCGACGCCAGACAGCGAGGAGACGGCGGCCGAGATCAAGCAGAACCGTGACGGGCTTGTGTTCGACTTTGGCAACGGCGCGTGCCCCGACCTGAGTGGATCACTTAACGGTGGATCACCTGGGTCTCACACCCGACAACAGTGGATCGACACGATCGATCGCAACCTCGACGCTGGTCGTCACTTTTACTTCGGTCTTCCACAGACGTGGTGGTGGGGCAAGACAGCCTCGGAGACCAAGGAGATTCTTCAGACTTGCCATCGCGTCGTCTACATGCACTTCAGCCACGGCGGCCCCAGCCAGCAGTTCTACTTCGACTCGGAGACGACCATGTCCGGATTCTCCAAGATCAAAGTCAAATCCGAGGGTTCAGAACAGTGCCTGGACTGGTCGAACCCAGCGAATCCGTCGGATGGGAAACTGTACTTGTTGAGCTGCCATGGCGGGGACAACCAGCTCTGGCGCTTCACGGGAGGGAGTGGTCTTGGTGCAGATGGTGCGGCTTCGCTAAAGGTCAAGTCCAACCCAAATCTCTGCCTCAACTACAAAGTGGATGGTAGCAGCGAGCTCTACCTCCATCCTTGCCATGGCGGCCCCAACCAGCTCTTCTACTTCGGTGTGCGGCCGCAGTCGTGCGATACATACCCGATCCAAAACGCCTCGAGTTGCTGGTTTCCGCACGAGTCGCCCCTTGGTCTGAAGCTCAGCGGCATGGACCTCGCTGACGAGGCTGCTGGCGCCGTCGTCGAGCAATGCCGGTCGCAGCCGCCACTGATCTTTCAGGCGGGTGGCAACGCCGACGCTGCGGCCCCTCCGACAACGGTGCACTCGATGCTCGAGAAGGTCAACAGCCCGAACGCAACCGAGGCGTTTCTCTGCCCCCGGAGCCCTGCGATCCAGCTGTTCCATTCCAAGCAGACCGTCGCAGAGTTGGATGTCTGGGACGCCGCGTGCGGCCCTGACAACATCTTTTTGTTCGACTACCATGAGGAGAAGGGCTTCGACTGGACCCCGCTGCTCGATGAGAGCGTTCAGTGCCGCGTCGACCTCGACGAGTGCGAGATGCATTGGGGGTGCCCTTGCTACGAGGGCAAGTTCCAGCCGTGCGAGTACTTGTTGCTCTTCGCGTACCACGCACGAAAGGCGCTCGCGACGTATCCAGCGACCACTGGCGGTGCCGAGTGGGTCGCAAGGCTCTCGTCGGCGGTGAGGATTCTGGAGTCTCTCCAAGAGCTGCTCTCTGAGGCTATCGGCACGACAGATAGTAGCTCCGCTGGCTCCCGTTCGCTGCTCTTCGCGTCCCTTCCGGACGGCGGCCCCTGCGACAACGGCTTCGTGCCCACATGCGAGCAAGTGCACAGCTTCGGCTTGTGTGACATGCATGCAGCGGAGCACGCCTGCCCGGATACGTGCAGCACAACCCTCGGCACCTCCGGCCACCACCTTCACGAGGAGAACATTACGATGCAGCCCATCGACTACACGAAGCCGGTGCTTGACCCGGAGGTCAAGGCCATCGTCTGCGGCGTGTGTCGCGAGGACCCGGATCTGGGTTGCTGCCACAACCATCCCCACAGAGCGCGAGCACGCCGACTCGGCGGTGCGTGCGAGCTCGCCCTCGGCCTGAAGCAGACACGATGCGGTTATGCAGCCGCGGCCACCATCACCGGCCTCACCAGCCTCGCCCGCCGCTACCTGCGGAACGCCATCGAGCGAGCCTCGACCGACACCTCGGCGCTGCGCGGCGTGCCAGGGCTCTCCTACGCGTTTCTGGTGGACGAGGTGCAGGCCCACGTGGAAGAGGTTGCGAATCTCAAAGACCAGTTCAGCGAGCAGTCGAACGTGCAATCGATTCTCAACGCAATCGGAGGGCTGGCCGAAGTGGAGGGGGCGAAGGTTGCTGGCGACAACAGCATTCTGAACGCGCGTGAGGCACAGCTGGACAAGCAGCTGCAGTGGGCCCTCACGGCCGTCGAGACTGCGCAGGACGGCATGGAAGAGACAGACAAGAAGATGAAGGAGAAGCTCGAGAAGTTGCAAGCAGCGGTGAAGGCGCATATGGTTGCTCAGCTCATCTCGGGCATCTTCTCGATGCTCTTCTCGTTTGCGGAGGTGTGTGCCTGAGCCATGTCGGGTGCCACCCGACTGCTCATTCTTCAGAGCCCCCCCTCCCCCCCTTCAGATGTTTGTCAACCCGATGGGCCTCGTGTCGGCCGGCACAAAGTGAGCAGCGCGCACTGTCACGCCGCGTTTGCTCGTGTTCTCATTGACACATTACTTCGTTCCTCCATAGGGCGGCAGATTTCGCTAAAGACCTACAAACGTCGGGGAAACAGGTCTACAAAAGTCTGAAGGCAGGCTCAACGGCATTCAAGGTTTTGGCGAAAATAGAAACATTTTCGGCGACGATTCAAAAGGCGGTCATCTTCTTCACGGTGGCAGAGAAGATCGTTGATGTGGTTGGCGGTGTTCTGGGCTGCACCGAAGTTTCTTCGGTGATTAACAAGCTCACGAAGTCACCGATCTCCAAGATATGCTCTAAGTCAACGGGTATTGCCGGCCTCAACCAAAGGTTTGCGGACGCCGACAAGGGAGGCAAGGTCCAAAAGATCATCGAGAAGACAAAAGCGGACCTCGGGTCGGAGCCGCGCCAGGAGGACTTGGACGAAGCCGCAGACAAATTGATGGAGGACGTTTCCAAGATGTCGGACGGCTGGTGGGAAGAGCAGGGGGACGGCATGCGTACTTCTGTCAACGTCTTCCTAACTGGCGAGGTGGGCGGCCAATCAGCCGCCGGGTTGGCCCAAGATTACCGCGACATGGTCGGCACCAAGACGCAGTACGGCAAGGACTTCAGCGCCGCCCTCAAGACCATCGTCGCCGTCTTCCAGGAGATGGCGATGATCGCGGTGCAAAGGCGCGCCAACGAAAACACGATGGCCGTCATCAAGAAGTACGAGAAGACGGTGGAGAGCAAAGAACTGGCCGTGGAGTGGCAAAAGCAGTTGCTCGCCATGCAGATCACCGAAACTGTGGTCACGCTCCAAGACACCCTCCGCGCCGCCTGCCACTCCCTCGCCTACCAGGCCTCGGAGCAGTACTTCAAATGCCTGGCCGACGAGACGCTGTCGAACAACGACTTTCGCACCCTGTGCAGCAGCTTTGAGGACGGTGTGACGCCGATCTCCAAGCCGTTCGTGGTCTCTCCAGAGCACGACGGGATGGCGGCCCGGGCGTACTACGAGCAGGTGCTCGCAGACCTTGGATACGATTCGTTCAAGCCGGTCCGGCTCGCCGTAGAGAAGGAGCTCTGGGACTCGCAGACGACGCAGCAGGTCCAAATCGAGATCAAAGAGTTCAAGACTGCCGACCCAGCCACGACGATGGTCGACGCCGAATTCACGGGCGTGTTGCTGTGCAAGAAGGACGAGAATGAAGCCTTTCTCGCTCCTGGAGACCTGTCATGCATCGACAAAGATGTCTTGCCGTTGCCGCCTAACAGCACGATTGGCTGCTGCCACACCAATGGCACCGCCACGACCGTCGAGTCCCCGACCAACGTGACGGAGTTCCCGAGTACGCCGTACGCTACGTCCGCCGAGTGGGCCGAGTTCAAGCGTACCGGTAGGCTCAGCTTTCGCCTGGGGCACGATTCTTTCCCCGTGCTGATGGACGGGTGCGTGCGCCGCACAGCCCCTCACGGCGCGAACGCTTCTCGCAATAACCAGTGGTGACGCGATTTGTTAGGTACTGCGGCCTCTTTCTCAAGGGTGTCATGATCTACCTGAACTCGCCCTCCAAGCGAATCACCCTTGACGATAGAGACCGCGTCTCAATCGCCCTCGAGCCAGCGACCATCTTGCGTCAGCGCTACAGAGACAGGGCTGGCAGCTTCACCGAGGTCGAGTTCGCGAGCAGCGCTGACGAGTTTGCCATCTTCCCGCTCAAGCGCTTAATACCTTCCCGGCAAAGCGTCGGCGTGCCAGAATGAGCAGCATGGGGTGAAGGCCAAAGTATTTTCCGCGCAGGCGGACCTCTGCGCGCGAGAGGAGGCCTTGCCTGCAAACACCTGCCCCGCGGAATACTGCATTGATTGGGAGCTGGCTTCGGGAAACTTGGCGCAGTACTTTGGCCGCAGGCCGGAGTTCTCCTCCATGTCGAACACGCCTTTCAATCAAGCCGCGATGTACACTACCTGGACGGTGAATGTCAAAACATCCTTGCCGCATCCACGCGGGGGTGCTTAACGAGCACTGCCTTGACTTGCGTGTATAGGTCAACACATTCAGCAGCTCGACCGGCTCCGCCAACGGACTCGACCTCTCCGGTGTCGAGTCTGTCCACCTGCAGCTCTACTACATCGGCAAAAACTGTGGCGCTCTCGGCTCGACGCCCACGTGCTACTTCCCGATGCGTGGCTAGTCCTAGTGCATCGCCTCAGGAGATACGCCGACAGTATGGGGGTTCTTGCCGTGCTAGCCTACGGACGCCGAGGGAGCTCCCCGAGTCTGCTGTGCGGGCCTGCCATGCACGGCGGGCCACAGAGCGTCTGCGGGCCGGGGGACACTGATGTAGTGCTGCGGCGGGGGTTAGAGGGAAGGGGAGCGTCAGTCTGCGAGCTCTGACGGCCCGCCATTGCTTTGCACGGCGCTCCAGCGTCGGATCTGCGGGGGGGGGGCTGTCGTAGTGCTGCGGGGATAGAGGGTGGGAAGCGTCCGGACTGTCTGCTGCGCTGTCCTCGTCAACGGCCCGCCAACCCATTGCTTTGCACAGCGGGCCACAGTGCACAGAGCGTCCAATGGCGATGTACACTTTTGGGGGAGCAATAACCTGTGTACTGTACTTTTTTAGCTTATCTCTCTCTCCTGTGTACGTACTTTTAGCTTAATAGGGGAGGAAAGGGAGAAGAGAGGGGTGTGTGTTCTCAAACCTGGTTTGTGGACCTCCCGCACCTGTCCTGACAGTCCTGACAGAGTCCTGACAGAGTCCTGGCGGAGTCCTGACGACGCACAGTCTTCACAGTACTCACAAGTGCCTTTCACAGTACTCACAAGTGCCTTTGACGAGACTTCCACCTTCCAGCTTCCTTCACTGCAACCCTCCCCTCCCCCCCAGCAGTGAATGATAGACGCCCAGCCCCCCTTTCGACCCGTGCCGCCCTCTGCGGAATCGTCCTGATGGGGCAGTCCTGACGTAAACTTGAGAGTCCTGACAAGCAAACTTGAGAGTCCTGACAGAAACTTGAGAGTCCTGACAGAGAAAAGAAAGTGGAGTCCTGAGTTCGCGCTCGCCACTCGACCATGCCAAGCGCACAAGGCAAGAGAGGCGCGGCCATGGTGCAGGCAACGTTACAGCCGGCAACGTGCAAGAAGGCAGCAAAGCTCGGCCACGACGTCCACGGCCCGCGCGCCCCTGTTTTGCCACCGGCGGCCAGCAAGCCAGCGCTGTCTTTCGTTTTGGTCCTTGGAGCAGGTGCAGAACATGTTCATGTAGATCCAAGACACGCTTCGCAAAAAAGAAAAACATCATATACCCGATCCCCCCCCCTTAACCTTTTGGTTTTGGCTTTCGCGCATCTCCGGGAGGGAAGTTGCGACGGTGTATCATTCACTTTATGCCACCGTTGCATATCCGGATATGCAACGGTGGCATAAAGTGAATGATACACCGTCGCAGATGTATTATGGTAAGAAGCCGTAGCTAGAGATCTGTGGAAAACAATGGCAGAGTGTCCGCTTGCCGTCTCACAAGTAAGTGTAAGATATACCTTTTAAGAACCACGACGACCTACCTAAGACATGAGCAGACGACACAGCGCGAGGGACGGGCGGTTCAGGACCGCTGTCTTTCGGACTCCGTCAGCGAGCCATGCGCTCGGGCGGGGGCGGCGCGGGTCCGAACCGGTTCGCCTGCGCGGCGAGGATGAAGCTCGAGCCGTCTGTGGGCGAGAAGGCGCAGGTGCACTGGTTGTAGACCGCGGCCTTGAGCCTCTCGTACATCGGGGTGAGCTGCACGCCGCCGGCCTCGCCTGGCGGGGGGGGGCGGGGTAGCCCGCTCTCCTCTCTCTCCTCTCCTTCTGGCCCCCTCTCTCTCTGGTCTTTCCCCCCCCCCCCCCCCTCTCTCTCTCTCTCTCTCTCTCTCTCTCTCTCAGCCTCTCTCTCCCCCACCCCCCTCACTCTCTCTGTCAGCCTCTCTCCGTCTCCTCCCGTCCCGTCCCGCCTCGTCTCGTCCACTCCCAGCACTCTGCCATATCTCCATATCTCGGCAAGTCTCGCTCCACGCAGCGCCTTCCGGCAGCGGTGCACCGTCCGCGCCGACGACCACGTCGCCCTCCTGGAAGCACAGAGATCGGGTCGTGACTCTACGGCGTCTCGTCTGCAGCGTGTCGCGCCCCCGCCCTCCTGCAGCACGTAGATCCAGTTGGCTCCCTTTATCTGGTCGCCTGCCGAGAGACGACTCGGGTGCTGGACGGTGCCAGCGGACGAGGGCGGAGAGCAAGGGCAAACGGCGAGAGGGGCGAGGGCGCACCGGAGGCGACAATCATGATCCAGCGCCCCGACGGCGACACCTGCAGGCGCCACCTCGGTGTGTGTGCTTCTCTGTTGTGTGTGTGCGTGTGTGTGTGTGTGTGTGTGTGTGTGTGTGTGTGCGTGTGTGTGTGTGTGTGTGTGTGTGCATGTGTGCATGTGTATGTGTGCGTGCGTGCGTGCGTGCGTGCGTGCGTGCGTGCGTGCGTGCGTGCGTGCGTGCGTGCGTGCGTGCGTGCGTGCGTGCGTGATGTGCGTGATGTGTGCGTGCGTGAGTGTGACCCGTCTGTGCGGTCGCGTGTGCGAGGCTCCGGCTGACGGGAGGGAGGGCAGACACCTCGAACGTGTGCCTCCCTCCTGTCACGCAGTCCCACCAAAGGGTGAGCCAGACGCCGCCTACCAGGAGGCGTCGCCGCGTCGCGGAGGTGTGCCGGTGGCCTCGCGTGTGGGGGGTACACGAGCGCGACGCCGGTGCTGCAGCTGTCGACGGTCCAGTTGTACCCGGCCGTCTTGAAGAACAGTGAGTCCGAGAACCACTCTGCATCCTGCAGGGTCAGCAGGCCCTCGCCTGCGACGTTGTCCTCCATCCACCTTGTCACAGGCAGTTGGACGCCTCATGGACGTGTCGAGGACATCGCCTTGCAACCCAGCGGCGCGACCCACCAGACGCCATCGTAGGCGGTCCGGCGCTTTGTTGAAGCGCGCTCGAGCATTCTTCCGAAGGCCGCCTCCGGCTTTGTGAGCCGAAAGCTGTCCGTGGGGCAGCAGCAAGGCAGGTCAAAGGCGGCGCGGCAGCAGGGACCGACGCACAGGCAGCTAGAGTTGATCACACAGCGCGCGAGCCTCGCGGAGCAGCTCGAGCCGATCTGCGGCGGGTTGTAAACGGGCTTCCAGCCGGCCGCCTTGAGCTCGAACGCTGCCCACTCCTCGGGTGTCACCAGAGCGGTGTCCATCACGGTGTGCCGATGTGAGAGCGTCGCTCGCGAGCCGCTGCCGAAAGCGCGCCCAGGGTTCGGCTCCTATTTAGATACGGGATCTGATTCGCGCCAAAACGCCCTACCTACCTACCTATTGCGGGCGCCAACCGCCAGGCTCCGTGCCCCACCTACCTACCTATTGCGGGGCCGCGCAGCGAGAAGCGAAAAATACCCGTTGAGCCCTCTGTGAATAGGCTCCCAGCGCCCGCCGCGCCGGGCTTGTACCGCGGTGCGGCGCCGCTCGCGAGCCCGCCAGAGCATGGCCTACTGGGCTCTCGAGGCGTTGGACGGCTCCAAAACGGCACTCTCTTCCCTCGACAGTCCCGCCGCGAGCCCGCGAGCGAAGCGGTTCCCCCCCCCCCCCCATCTAATAAAAATGAACACAACACTCGCCGCGCCCGCCACTAACGGCCGAGGCGCGCTCAGAAGTGGTGGACAGGGGGTCCCTGGCTACCGATAGCTGAAGGGCTCGGAGTCGGCGCGCTGGCACACCCTGGAAAGGGCGGTAGTGATGGCGGGCAGGGCGAGGCCGCCGAGGGCGAGGGCGAACGCCTCCCACCTGCGGCAATCCACAGTCATCGAGGATCTTCACTGGACTCATCGAGGGTGGCGGCTCGGGAGTGGTTTGGCGGCACCGAATCAGTCCTCGAAGTAGCAGCAGCGATGGCACCCCGATGATGCCGGTCGCAAAAAAGGCGAAGCCAAACTCCGCCCAGTGACGGCCCTTTGGCGTGTCTGAGAACAGGCTGTCGCCGGCACACGCGCGCAGCAGCAAACAGGGAATGGCCGCAAGGACAAGCGGGACGAGGAGCAGGAGG